TCTTGCCATTCTTTTTTACTGCTGCGCCCGTGCTTGCATGCCAACTCGCGGAGACCTTTCGCTGGATGCGCATCTGTCGGGATGTCTTTTCCAGCCGGCGTCGGAACTCTCTTGGGAACACTGTGGCGCTATCTGTGCCAAGCCCCCTTCGGCCCTGGACCTCCGCCGGGCGAGTTAGCAGCATCCTCCATACCTCCGCTGGGGCCGACGCAGGTGGCTGAGCCCCGCACGGGGTCGGGGTGGAAGTAGACGCAGATAACGAGCAGGCGCAATTCTGGCGTTTGCAGCACAACTGCTAAACCACGGCCCTGGAGGGATGACGGGGCGTCGACCGCCTCGAGGAGGTGGGCATGTCGGAGCTTTCCCCGCCATATAATCATACATCCTGTGCTCTTGTTGGAATGTACTGCCCTGTCGCTCCATCCGGCATCAACGTAATTGCCATCGGGTACGGTGCCTCGCCTGAGCTCCGGAGTTGGTCTCCGTCTGGTAGCACCACTGAGTCCGATGATGTCGAAATTTGATCCTTCCTCCGTGATTTCCTGCACTCTCTCGTCCAAGGCGCGCATTGGGTTGCAGCCCATGACTGCCAGGCTCGTCGCCCATGCCATGATGATCACGGGCCACATGATCGGTAAAGGGGGGAAGTTAGGTTGTGGGAAAGAGAAATAATGCGAGCGTTTCCGCCGGGGCCCACCATGGTCCTGCTTGACCGCGCGGTGGCTTGGAGGAGGAGGAGGAGGAGGAGGAGGAGGAGGAGGAGGAGGAGGGCGAGGAGGAGGGGGGGGAGGACGAGTTTTTAACACGCGTGCTCAAGCGTGCGCAAGCGTGCCAGGGGCCTCGGCACCCTGGGCGGGCTCGCTCCGCGCGCGCCCGCAGCAGGGTGAGCCCGCGGCCTCAGCACGAACCCTCTCTGCCCCGCCCGCCGCTGCCGACTGCAGCGAGTCGCAGCTCTCATCGGGCGGCGGCGGCGTCTCGTGTTTCTGCTGCTCGCCGCGAGCTCAGAGCTCGAGGAGCAGCCTGATGGACGGCCGCTGCCGCTCCTCGGCGCTTCGCTCCTCCAAGGTGCGCTCTGGCGGCGGCACCCTTGGCCCGTGGGACTGCTCGGCCGTCTCGTTTTGGGCGCCGCGCGCCCCTGCTGGACCGCCGGCCGCCATGGGCGCAGGGCCCTCGCTCAGCCCCCAGGCTGACGTCCTCCTCACTGGCGTCCTGCTCGCCTGCCTCTGGCGTGCACCGCTGTGGCCCAACCCCTCGCCGCGCTGGGGTCCGCTGCGGCCTAACCCCTCGCCGCGCTGGGGTTCGCTGTGGCCCAACCCCTCGCCACGCTGGGGCCTGCTGTGGCCTCGCCCCTCGCCACGTTGGGGAGCGCTGCTTCATCCATTGCCGTCGTCGTCGTCGTCCACCTGCGGGTCCACGCCGAGCACCGTTTCCGCCATCTGCCTGCGTCGTGCCACTTCCTCAGGGTCCTGCTGCTGGATCGCTCGCCGCGCCGCACCGCTGTTCAGCCATGCGAGGCGGCATATCTCGTCGGCCGCTGCGCGCTGGCTGCACTGGCGTGCCTGGCCTGGGGTGTCGCTGAAAAGGCGCTGGTAAAGGCCTGTCTGCAAGGTCTTGAGGACGTGGGGTACGCACGCTGCCTGCCACGTCCTCCAGCCTTGTTCCCCCGCTCCTTGAATCCAGCACCCTGCCAGAGACTGCATCAGCTGCTCCAGACGGTTCCGCTCAATCCACGCGAGTTCCCTCTCTGGGTCCTGATCTTCATCGCCTCGATGCTGGCGGAGCCTGGGGTGCTGCATGCCCGCGTCATTCGCCTGCTGCAAGTACTTCATGAGGTCTGGCACGGGAGACTTGGTTAGCGGAGCCCACTGCACCGTGGCACACCTTTGGACCAGGGACGTGTCGTCATTGAGCAGCTCGGGCCCTGGGGTGGTGTCCATGTCCTGGTCCCTCCCTGCTCCTTCCAGTTCTGGAACTTCGCTGTCTGGGACTGAGTAGTCGTCGTCCAGGTTCTCTGGCGTCCAGGCCCGATTCCCCTCCGCGGTGCTGGGAAATGGCCCCCTCTCACTGCTGGGGATGCTGTGCGCCAAGATATTGTCCCTCCTGCCCTGGAAGGCCTCCATGTGCACCCTGGCTGCTAGCTGCCTGGTCCCGTGCGGGAGGGTGAGCATGTGCGTCATAAGCCTCCTGCGCGCTCTGTGGGTGTTCCTCTAGATGTCCTCGCAGAAGTCCTTCAGCTGCTGGAACTCCTGCGGCGTCACTGCCCTCGTCTGCTCTTCGATGGCCGTCCTGCCACCTACGCTGGTGACCGCCATGAGGTAGGGGGGAGGAGGACGAGACGGGGGAGGAGGAGGAGGAGGAGGAGGAGGAGGAGGAGGAGGAGGAGGAGGAGGAGAAGGAGGAGGAGGAGGAGGACGAGGGGAGGGGGAGGGGGGGAGATTGGGACAGGGAGGGCGAAGGGGAGGAGGAGGAGGAGGAGGAGGAGGAGGAGGAGGAGGAGGAGGATCAGGAGGAGGAGGAGGAGGAGGAGGAGGACTAGAGCACACCCAAGATGCACCAACGACGCTGCAGTAAAGCCTCTCTCCAAATTCCCTCCCCATGTCCCCTCGATAAATGTATGTTCACTGCGGATAAACCAGGCGGTGATCATGGATGAATCCCCGCCTTGGAGAGGAGCAGGAGGAAGAAGAGAGGGGAGGGTTGATGACAGAACAACGCACGCTCAACCTGTAGGGGGAGCACGAGGGAAGGGCACGCCAATGACGGCGCTGCAAGTGTATGAATGCGAATTGTCGGAGCCCGGGAGGGATTCCGCTCGAGCTGGGGTCCCGACCCAACATCTCGCAACTATGACCCTGGCGGAATGCTGGCCCCGAGATTAACAACTTGATCTGGGTAGCATGCAGGTTTGAAGGCTGAGTGGACGCTCGTAGAGAGGATCAGGATAGACGGTAGAAGCACCGCTGCGCGCGCGCCGAAGTCGGGTGAGCCACGATCGATGCTGGCGTGGCACCGAGCAGGATGGAGGCGGCCGCGACATTGGGACGCAGACGGACCTGCTAGAACCATGCCCACCTTGGAGGCGTGCGCCCGACCAGTTCATGCAGCCGAGCACACGCTATAAGATGTTTGACCCCGCGCGTCGCCCCCGTTGGTGGCGACGCACACGTACACGTAGTGCAACTAGGTGTTGGTTGTCCGAATCTGCCGCTCGAGCCGTGCACAAGCCCCCGCATAAGATCTGGCCGCTCAGAGGAACGCTTCGGGTTCAGAATGGTTCTGGACAACTCATCGGACCTGACCGAAACAAGCCCATCGCAAACCGTTCAGCCTTCCACCAGAATTCTGGGCGCGAGTGGCTCAGCGAGCTTCCTCTTCCAACCACCGTATTCCCCTCATCCCCCTCCCTCCATCCCCCCCCCCCGCCCTCCGTTTGATGGGACACAACGGGCGAATTCCCCGCGGATCAAACTCTGTTGCTGGAGAGATAAATTTAGTTCACCTTGCACGCCATTTAAACTGGTACTGGTTGCTTGCACGGTGGAACTGTTAAACGCTGCGAAACGCATGAAACTCAATGACGGGTGCCACTCGCTCCACTCGTTGCCTTGCACACAATAACTGAAGAACCATGAGCAGCAGGCGCCGACTACAACATTAGGAACTACTACACTGGAGCCAGGAGGACGAGGCGGGGCCAGGCAGAGGAGGCAGAGGAGAAGAGGGGAAGCGGGGAGGGAGGGGAGGGGAAAGACTTGTCCGAACCTGTAGCTCGAGCTATGCACAAGCCCCAGACGAGCGCTTCGTGTTTAGAATGGCTCTGGACAACTCATCGGACCTAACCGATGCAAGCTCATCGCAGACCGTGCAACATTCCACCAGACGTCTGGGCGTGAATGGCTCAGCGAGCTTCCGCTTCCAACCACCGTATTCCCCTCATCCCCCTCCCTCAACTCCCCCGCCCTCCGTTTCAAACTGTGGTGCTGGAGAGCTGGATGCATCTCACCCTGCTCGCAACGAAAACTGGTACGGCTGCACGGTGGAACTCTTCCACAATGCGAGAAACATGAAACTCAATGACGGGTGCCAGCACGGTGGAGGTGACTCGCTCCACTCGTTGCCTTGCACACAATAACTGAAGAACCATGAGCAGCAGGCGCCGACTACAACATTAGGAGCTACTACACTGGAGCCAGGAGGACGAGGCGGGGCCAGGCAGAGGAGGCAGAGGAGAAGAGGAGAAGCGGGGAGGGAGGGGAGGGGAAAGACTTGTCCGAACCTGTAGCTCGAGCTATGCACAAGCCCCAGACGAGCGCTTCGTGTTTAGAATGGCTCTGGACAACTCATCGGACCAGACCGATGCATGCCCATCGCAGACCGTGCAACATTCCACCAGACGTCTGGGCGTGAGTGGCTCAGCGAGCTTCCGCTTCCAACCACCGTATTCCCCTCATCCCCCTCCCTCAACCCCCCCGCCCTCCGTTTCAAACTGTGTTGCTGGAGAGCTGGATGTATCTCACCCTGCTCGCAACGAAAACTGGTACGGCTGCACGGTGGAACTCTTCCACAATGCGAGAAACATGAAACTCAATGACGGGTGCCAGCACGGTGGAGGTGACTCGCTCCACTCGTTGCCTTGCACACAATCACTGAAGAACCATGAGCAGCAGGCGCCGACTAGAATATTAGGAACTACTACACTGGAGCAAGGATGATGCGGGGCCAGGCAGAGGCGGCAGAGGAGGCAGAGGAGAAGCGGGAAGGGAGGAGAGGGGAAAGTCTTGTCCGAACCTGTAGCTCGAGCTATGCAGAAGCCAATGCAGAATATTTGGCCGCTCAGACGAACGCTTCGGGTTCAGAATGGTTCTGGGCAACTGATCGGACCAGACCGAAACAAGACCACCGCAAACCGTACAACATTTCACCAGATTTCTGGGCGTGAGCGGCTCAGCGAGCTTCCTCTTCCAACCACCGTATTCCACTCATCCCCCTCCCTCCACCCCCCCCGCCCTCCGTTTGATGGGACACAATGGGCGCAGTCCACGCGGATCAAACTCTGTTGCTGGAGAGATAAATTTAGTTCACCTTGCACGCCATTTAAACTGGTACTGGTTGCTTGCACGGTGGAACTGTTAAACGCTGCGAAAAGCATGAAACTCGAGGAGACTCGCTCCACTCGTCGCCTTGCACACAATCACTGAAGAACCATGAGCAGCAGGCGCCGACTACACATTAGGAACTACTGCGCTGGAGCAAAGAGGATGAGGCGAGGCCAGGCAGAGGAGGCAGAGGAGAAGCGGGAAGGGAGGAGAGGGGAAAGTCTTGTCCGAACCTGTAGCTCGAGCTATGCAGAAGCCCCAGAGGAAGCAAAGCGTACAACAGATCATGGGCACATCTTTCTTCACCACCCTCGCCCAGGGCAACAGGTGCACCCAACGATTCTCCCGCCCCCCTCCTCATGCCCAGCGTGATTGCAACTCTTGGGCCCGGAGAAAACGTCATGCTCTCCCCCCAGTTTCTCGACCGGACAGGGGCTCCACCCTTAACCACCACTCAGTCAAGCTTTGCGCTCGTGCGGCACCAAGGTGATGATTGATGATAGATCCGACGACCCTGTCGGCGTGTGGAATGGGTTGTTCTTCTCGTCCGTGCCTCCTTCCCTTTCCCACCTTCTCCGTCTCCTTCTCGTTCGTCTCCTCCTCCTCCTCCTCCTCCTCCTCCTCCTCCTGCTCCTCCTCCTCCTCCTCCTCCTCCTCCCCCTGAGCATCTTTTGCCACCTTCTCCATCTCATTTTCGTTTGTCCTCCCCCTCCTCCTCCTCCTCCTCCTCCTCCTCCTCCTCCTCCTCCTCCTCCTCCTCCTCCTCCTCCTCCCTCCTCCTCCTCCTCTCCTCCTCCTCCTCCTCCTCCTCCTCCTCCTCCCCTCCTCCTCCTCCTCCTCCTCCCTCCTCCTCCTCCTCCTCCTCCTCCTCCCTCCTCCTCCTCCTCCTCCTCCTCCTCCTCCTCCTCTCCCTCCTCATCCTACTCCTTCATCTCTTCCTCCGTGCGTACAGTAAACTGACTCGAAGGGTTTCCCCTTCCCTTTGTTCCCTTCCCCGGCTGGGGGGGGGGAGGGGGGGGGGGCCAGCCTGGGGTAAGCCCGGGGGGGGTCCTGGGGGGTCCCGGGGGGGTCCTGGGGGGGGGTCCGGGTCAGAATACCACCTCCCTCCTCCTCCTCCTCCTCCTCCTCCTCCCCTCCTCCTCCTCCCTCCTCCTCCTCCTCCTCCCTCCTCCTCCCTCCTCCTCCTGAGCGTCTTTTGCCACCTTCTCCATCTCCTTTTCGTTTGTCTCCCCCTCCCCCATCCTCCTCCTCCTCCTCCTCCTCCTCTCCTCCTCCTCCTCCTCCTCCTCCTCCTCCTCCTCCTCCTCCTCCTCCTCCTCCTCCTCCTCCTCCTCCTCCTCCTCCTCCTCCTCCTCCTGCTGGAAAGAGCCCTTGCTTCGATGCCGGACGCTAGGGGACAAGGTTTGGATCACCTGGAGCCCCGCTTGGTCAAGGAAGCCAGCCTGGAAGCTAAGCAACATTTGATTGACATGTTGCATAGCATTGAGGAGCAGTGTACAATCCCTTTCCCGCAGTTGTTCGCCCTCATTGCTTTGAGTACTAAGCCTGACGGGGGTAAGAGACCTATCGCTCTCCTCGGCTTCGTCTACTCCCTCCACCTCCGCATTAGGAAACCCTTTATCACCCAATGGGACCGTGGAGCCCATGGACCCTGGGACGCCACGGTGGGAGGTTCCGCGGATTTTGCAGGCTGGGTAGGCGAGCTTGAAACTGAGCTCGCCCTCCATGCAGGTTTTCAGGTAGGCGTTCGTTTGCTGGATATGAAGAAATACTACGATCAGGCTTGCTTAGAAGATTTGGTCGAGGCAGCAGTTGCTCTCGACTATCCTCTCCGCCTCCTTGCCCTAACTATCGACATTTATTCAGGCGTCCGTCACGTTTCCTTGGATGGCACGGTGCACCCCGGGATCTTAGCTCATGGAGGCATGCTCGCTGGTTGCGGCCAGGCTACTTCTCTTGCGCGTGCGCACCTCCATGAGCCCCTCGGGTGTGCTTACAGCTCTGTCTCAGGCCTCCGCCTTCGCGAGTGGGTGGACGATGTTTCTGCCAGGCTCTTCGGCACGCATTGCAGTATTTCGGCAACGTTTCCCACCTTGCTTCGAGCCCTCCTGGTCAGCCTGAAACGTCGCCGTTGTCAGCTGGCCGTTGATAAGTCTCATCTGTTGGCGTCGTCGCCAGAGCTTCGCTCAGAGCTTTCTGCTGCTGCCGTCGCCGAGGGGTGTGAATTCACGGTTTCCTTAGCCGCCAGGGACCTGGGGCATGATACGGCCCTCGGAGCGCGCCGCGCGGTAGCAGTTCGCAAGGAGAGGTTTTCGAAGGGCCGGCACGCTAGTTGTAGGATCTTCCAATTTTCCAAAACAAATCGTAGCGCTGCAAAACTGTTTTACCCCAGTGCTTTTGCTAAGGCCATGTGGGCCCCTGAGCTCCAGGGAGTTCCCCCCTCAATGTTGCGAGGGCTCAGGAGCATGGCCCGGGCTGCTAGCAAGAGCCCTCAGAAGGGCGTTTGTGCTACATCTGCTATTCGGCTCACCTTTGGTCTGGGGCAAGACCCAGTGAAGCTGTATTACCGCAAGATTGCTAAGTCCTGGTTCTCACGCATTGCAGGCAACCAGAAGCTTCTTGAGCGTTTGGCTCGATTCTGGGATACCTCGCTCGAGAAGGTTCATCGAGGCTGGTCTTGGGTCCGAGGCCCGATGGCTGCCTTTCAGGCCTCCTTGCTCGCCATTGGGTGGGCTTGCCCCTCTCCCTTTTCCTTGGTCTCCCCTTCTGGCGACTCCTGGGAGATGAAAGCGGGCGTTCGAGGACCCTTGGGACCCCTTTTGGAAGCCTTCGACGAATCGATCGACGCCCTGCAGTGGAACCAGGCAGCAGAACATCTCGACGGCAAAGGAATCCAGGGCCCGGTTTCGCTGTTCCACGTTTGGGAGCTCCTGGTCTCTCTTGAGAAGGAAGGCCGTCGAGATGTGAGTTCCATGGTCAGGTTGATCGCTGCCGGCAGCTACTGGACGGAGGAAAAGAGGCATGCTGAGCAGATGGCCCCTGACCCCCTCTGCCGCCGCTGCAAGCGTGACCCTGGATCTTCATCTCATCGCTTCTGGTCTTGCATGTGCAACGATATCTGCACAGTTCCAGATATTGCCGATGCTCAGCACTTGCGCCATGCGGCGCTCCAGGAAGTGTCAGATTTCCCATGCTTTTGGGTCCGGGGGCTCACTCCCCTCTCCTGGTTTCGGTTGCCGCCCCTCCCCGATTCAAGGTTGCTCCGTGGCGTTCGCGTGCCTCGGCCCCTCGTGCCTGCATCTCTCCCCGGGGGATTGTACTGCACCGATGGGTCGGGAGGCCCTTTCTCTAAGCTGCCTGTGCTCAGGCGCGTGGCTCTCCTTCGTCAGGATGGTCCCAGGATCTGATTTTGACTGGGATAGTGCTGTTACGGGAGCTCTGGACTCTAAGAGGCAGACCGTTCCACGTGCAGAGCTTGCGACCATCGTTGAATGTCTGAGGATGGTCGACACCTCCCAAGATCTGCACGTGGTCAGTGATCATTATAACATAATCCAGGCTTTCTTTTCAGGCAAGGCCCGTTCTTCTAAGCTGGCTAATTACGACCTGTGGTGGGAGTTCTGGGAGCTGCTCGACTCTCGAACTGCCTCCTTCCGCCTCTCTCATGTTCCGTACCACTTGCTTGAAGACCCCGCGAAGTTTGCGCGCTTCGGTGATTCAGCTACTTGGGACCATGTCGTCTTGAATGCCCTCGCAGATTCGTTGGCTGACGCACGAGCGACAGAGTGCCAGGTTCCAGCGGATGTTGTCCGCGATCATGACGATTTAGTTCAGCACGCACGCGCGCACGCCCGCATATGGGCACCGTCTAGGGTGCTGCGGGCGCGGCGCCGGAACGCCAAAGTGTCGAAAAATTAAGCCCGATCAAAAGTCCGAGTCGACCTTGTTCCAAAAATTCCTTTGTGGCAACTTCCAATATCTCTTGCCCTTGCGGCTGGAGATCATGCCCTTGAGGCTGGAGGTCGGCAGGTGGAGGTCCAAGAGGCTGGAGATCTTGCCCTTGAGGCTGGAGATCTTGCCCTTGAGGTTGGAGATCTTGCCCTTGCGGCTGGGGATCATGCCCCTGAGGCTGTAGGTCGACAGGTGGAGGTCGAAGAGGCTGGAGATCTTGCTCTTGAGGCCGGAGATTTTGCCCTTGAGGCTGGAGATTTTGCCCTTGAGGCTAGAGATCTTGCCCTTGAGGCTGGAGATCTTGCCCTTGAGGCTGGAGGAGGAAGACTGGGCGGCGTCATCTGTTGGGCGGGAGTCGGAAGTCGGAAGCTGGAGGTTGGTCGGGTGAGGTGGAGTCGATGGGTGGAGGTGGATGATTGGGAATGGATAGGTGGAGGTCGAGTTGGAGGTGGAAGACTGGGCGTCGTCAATTGGCGGCGGCGGCGAAAGTCCGTTTAGGGTGCTGCGGGTGCGGCGCCGGGGCGCCGGGATATTGCAGTATTCGCTTGGTTCGCTCCTCTGTCGTATGCTGCAAAATCTGGCGCCAGATCGCCCCACATAGCTGTTGACGCAAGACACAAAATGTCTGAAATACTAATGCCATCCCGTCCCATCGTAATTCCCATATAGTGTCGGACGTCGTCAATCCATCTGAGTTTAGGTCTCCTCACCCTGCGCTTCGCCGTGTGAACAGGGTCGCGTTCTGGAGTCCATTGGAATACCTGCCGCGTCCATTCGTGCTCGCTGGTGTTGGCCAACTTCCGTATCCAGTGCCATCTTCGCAGTCGTACGTTGGAAACCCTATCTGTGATTCGTAATTTCTCCATTGCCGCCTCAGCCGCGCGGGTGGCGCGTTTTACCCAATCCACCCATGGTTCCAAATAATATTCTGCGTCTTCAGCGTCATCAGCACGTGGTGCAGTATCCGGCGTACTGTCCACGTCGTGTCCGTCGTCGTCGTCGGAATGCTCGTGAGCGTCGTCGTGTTGGTCGTCATTGCTGTGTCTGTCCTCATCGGCGCGTGGAATAGGCTGGGTGTTGCTGACAATGCGCCTGAGCACTTTAACTATCATGCGAAGCATCTGCCGTTGTGTGCGCCGCAGCCGGTTCTCCAATTCTGTCGTAAGTGTCCAAGCCTCGCAACCATAGAAGATAGTAGGCGTGACGGTCCCGTTGAAGAGGCGAAGACGGTCGGATTGTGAATACGTTGGCCCAGTTAACTCTTGCTTGAGTGCGTGGAACTTCCGCCATGCTGTGGCAATGCGATGCTCTATTTCGGTTGCGTGCGGCGTGCTGTGCTGTAATTGCCGACCGAGGTATTTTGTGGCTCGGTAGGGTGGCGCAACCTCGATCGTCATGCCGTGCACATTCGCGCTGTCGGGTGCGCGTTTGCCGCGTGATGGTCGATGGCCGTTGTGTGAGATCTTTGTTTTGTCAGGGTGCAGTTCCAAACCCGCCTTGCCCGCCTCGGTGATCAGGTCAGAAAGCATGTCCTTCAGGTGGTCGAGTGATCCGGCAAGTAAGAGGATGTCATCAGCGAAACGCAAATTGGTCAACCTGTGATTTGCGTGCAGCTGGAACTTGGAGCCGTAATTTGTCATTGTCCATTTGGCTTTGACTCGTCTCATAATACTCTCTGACACGCAATTGAAGAGTAATGAGCTGAGGGGGTATCCTTGCTTCGTTCCCCGTAACACGTTGAACGGTCTGCTCATGCGGTCTGTGTGAACAGTCGCGGTCTGCTCTGTGTACAATTTGGACAAGAGTTTGGTATACGCCTTGGGTGTATTTTGCTCAGCGAGTGATTCCCATATGCTGGGATGTGTGATGCTGTCGAACGCTTTCTTGAAGTCTACGGCGGCTGACCACAATGGAAGTTGCCACTCGTCCGCTATCTCCTGTAGCTGTGTTGTTGTGAAAAAGTGGTCGGTGGTGCTGCGGTGTGGTCGAAACCCTGCTTGGTCAGTGCTCTGGCTGCTGTCTAGTAGTGGGTGAAGCCGGTTGTAGAGTAGCCTTGAAAAGAGCTTGTATAGTATTGGGATGCTGGCAATTGGTCGGTAGTTTTTTGGTTGCTGGGTGTCTCCAGCCTTGTGCAGCACCTTGATCACTGTGTGTCGCCAGCTCGTTGGCGTTGGAGACTCGGGTAATGTGATGTTGTTGTACATGTCAAGGAGCACGGATCGCAGCACCTCTCCACCTGATTTCAACATTTCTGCTACGATCCTAGAATAGTCAGCAGCTCGCTTGGACCGTAGTTGGCGCAAGGCTGTCTCTAGCTCGTCAATCGTAAATGGTGGGATTGTGTCATATTGGTCGTCTCGTGCGCTGTTCTGGTTGTATGCGTTGCTTCTGTCAGCGCTGCCGTGGTAGAGGTCCTCGTAGAACTCCGCAAAAACATCTGCTATGGATTGTCGGTCGTGCAGTGCTTTCCCTTCCTTGTCGATCATGCTTGTGATGTACGTTCGTTTCCTGATACTCTTGGCGCCACTTATGTCCCTGTACTCAGACAAGATGCGATCGATCGTGGCCCGCCGGATTGTTCTTTTGATAGACCGGATCTCCTTGCGGATGTGTTTGTTGAGGTGGTTCCTTGTTGCTGTCTCGTGGGTTGGTGTGCGACGTCTCTGCTGGAGTAGTTGAGTAAGTTTGTCGTTAGTTGGGTGGCTGCTGCGGTGGCGGTTTGTGCTCGGGGGCTGTAGCTGTAGTAACACATCTCGAACCGACCCTTCGATTTGTTCACATTGTATTTGGAGCCTCGTGTCTGGCAGAAGTATGTCGAGCTGATATGTAAGTGCGTGCTGGTATTGCGTAAGGTCCGTGGGAGGCCATGCTGGTCGTGGTTGCTGTCGGCGTTGCTGTTGTCGCTTGCTGGTGGATGTCTTGTTCTGGGTGGTCGCATTGAAAACGCATGATAGCCGTAACGCCCGGTGGTCAGATCCCATGTCGATCTCGCAATTCGACTCGCAATCCTTGACTGTTCGCCACAACTTCTTGTTTACCAGGAAGTAATCGATCTGTCTGTCCGTCCTCTGGGGGGATGTGTATGTGATCAATTTGCTGTCCTGCTTGTAGAAAAACGTGTTGGCCAGGCGAAGTCGTTGATTGGTTGCCCATTGCTTTGACCATTGCCCTCGAGCGCTCATGGGGCCCAATCCATGCTGTCCCAAAGTACATCGTGCATCGTCCAGCGTAGCTTGTCCAGCGCGTGCGTTGCAGTCAGCCCCAATCAATGTCATCATTCGTCCCGCGTGCGCTTCTTGGCAAATTTGAGATAATGTATCATACATGGTTTGAATGTGTTTATCTCCGTACCCACTGTGAGGAAAGTAAGCACTGGCAATACGTAATTTTACAGACGATCTTTTGATGTCAACATAAGCAACCCTTTCGTTGATAGGATGGTATGCAACTATGTGTTTGACCCAACGCTTGTGTAATGAGATTCCGACTCCGCGCTGATAGTCTTTGAACCCGGATCCCAAGAAGGCATGCCCGCCATCACTTGTCCAGAATTCGGCAGCGTCGGTCCTCCATGTCTCGTTCAACGTAATTGCATCCCATTCCAGACCGTCGAGTTCTGAAAGTAGTTCTGTGACTCTGTCACCAGATGACAGTCCACGAACATTTTTATGATATGATACAAACTTGCATGTCCCTGTCGTATTCTCCGCCGTCATGCTGTCACTAGCGCTGGAATTTGGGGCTGCTGGTGGGGAGCGTCGCGCTGGAGTCGAAGGTATTGCGTTGGAGCGGGGGGAGGTTGGATGAGGGTGCTGGTTTTGAGACTGGAGGCCTTCGTCTTGACGACGAAAGTCTGGAACATGATCCTGAGGACTGTGATGCCGGTCATGGTCGTTGCCGCTGGTGGGAATCGTCGCTCCAGGGTCGGACGTAGCGTACCTTTGGCGTAGGATGCACAATGGGACATCGCCAGAGGCATTCATATAGTTCTGTCGTCTATTTCTTCCTCCTGCTCCTCCTCCTCCGCTAGATGCTAGTACCTGAGGGGAGAGATGCCCGGTTGAGGGTCGACGGTTGGAGGTGGATGCTGGTGGATTTAGTTCAGCAGGCTTGTGCAATTCTCAAGCGCAATGCGTGTATCATCCTTGAGTGTGCCGCTCTTAAGGTGGAGCCAGACCGACGTTTGAACAAGCAGCCCATTGACTTGGTGCTAAGGCGCCGCAGGTGGATCGAGTCGGATGTTCGGTCCAGCTCTCACCATTGGTCGCTCTCTGAAGGTGTGTGGTCTTGTACGCTTTGCCAGGGCCAGGTCAAGGACACCGCCCCCTCTCTGTGCGCTCGCCTTGCTTCCACCTGCCTCGCCACCTTGGAGGGAGGAGCGAGGCTGTGTGTGCGTGAGCGTGTGCGTGAGGGCGGTGGGGGGGGAAGGTCTTCGAAGAAATGGGCCCGTCCAGGCAGGCAGCTTCCGCTTCGAGACGAGTCCCTGTGGCGGTCCCTTCGCTCGGACCCCATGCCGATTCGAGTTTCTCCTTGGATTTCCGGCAAGCCTGTGCACCCCACGCACGTGCTGTGGCGTAAGGCCTCCTTTTACTTTTGTGGCGAGTGCGGGTCTTGGGCCTACAGATCTCCCGGTGCTTTCTTGAGGGGTCCGTGCTCTGCCGTCACGATCGGACCGCATGCTGTAACCAAGGCGCAGTTGGAAGTCTTGCAGAGGATTTGTAAAGGCCTTCCTCCAGCCAAGACTGTCGCATCTTGGGCTGATGCTTAAAATTTTCCTCCCTAGCGGCCAGTCCCTGGCAGGAATCTGCCCTTAGAGCCTGGGAGTTAGCGGTGCACTGTAAAAAATCCTCCTCCTCCTCCTCCTCCTCCTCCTCCTCCTCCTCCTCCTCCTCCTCCTCACACACTTCCTCCGCCTACCCTGTCACGTTGTCCTTTAGCTCCTTCCTGTGATCACAAATCCCGTCGCCATCGACGGCTCAAACCTTCAGGGTCGGCGGCACTGGTCGTAAGGCCTTCACAATAACTATGGCTATGCCATTCCAAAAAAATACTTCACGACGCCACTCTGCGGATCCCGCCGATGTCAAACAAGCGCCATCCTGCTCGGCTCCCTCTACCGGACTCATGGCTGAAGCAGGCGGATGAACATCAGGCGTCACGAGGCTGCACCGCCGCTGTGGCGAAATAGTGAAGCGGGACAATGGTGAGACTCTGTCCCAGGGCAAATCCATCCGACTCCGATGGGACTCAAACTAGAAGCGGGGACGGCTCCCCCTCTTTCAATCCCCTCCCTCCCGTCGCCCCCCCGCGCAGCACCCACATCTCTCTCATCCCGTGCCGCCAACATGATGAAACTGTCAGCCGAGCGTTTATCAGGCAGCTGGTCTCGGAACGATGAAGGGGTGGAACTCGGGGTTCTTCATGCGGCGCAGCCGGCTCGCAGTCCACCTTCTGGTGTTCTCTACGTAGCCCTGCAGCGCCGACGCTCTGACCTCGATCACGGCCCCATTGGTGCTAGCTCCGGCAGCCCCAGTTAGCGTCGCTCCATTCCACTGCTTCGAGAACTCGCGGGCGTCCCTTGGGGTGGCGAAGTTCACAAACGCGATCCCCTTTGTAGTCCCGGCCTCGAAAGTGATCGGCATATAGGCGTAGTCGTACCTGTTCGCGAAGCCCGCCCGATTGATGAGGTCCAGCAGGTCATTCTGCGCCACAGCCATCGGAATGTTGCTGATCATGACCGTGGTGACGGCCGGAGCGCCGGGGGTGGCGGGCACTGCCTCCTCGGTCGGCGCTGGCACGCTGCCCGCGAGCTCGCCCTGCTGAACCTCCAGCTCCAGCAGGTCGGCCTCCTGCTCCCAAATCCTCCGCCGGACCTCTTGGGTCTGCTGCTCGGCCTCGGCCAGCAGCTGCTCCTGCTCCAGGAGCCGGGCCCGCATGCCCTGCAACGTCCTTGGGGGAACGAACGATGCCATGAACGTACAAAACTCGGGGGTCCGCGCGGATTTCTCGGATCGGCGCTGGAACCCCCTCCCTGGCGAGTGGAGCGCGCCAGGGGCGGCGCCAGAGGCGCCGCCAGGGGGGTCCAGCGCGGATCCGAGAAATCCGCGCGGACCTCCGAGTATTTATGTTCAATGCCATTGTTCGTTCCCCTGGTCCTAGCGGCCCCAGACGTGCCACTGGAGGCTCCTGCCCGCGCCGCGCGGTCCGGCTCCGCCCTGGCGTGGGCCGACCTCGCCGGCACGGACCACTCGCCCAGGGGGCCTGCGGCGAGCCCCGTCTCGGCGGCGGAGCGCCGCGGCATGGTCTCCGCCCGCAGACGCCCGCGCGGGTGGTCGAACTCGTCAACGGTCTTCCAGGACTCGCCGCCGCTCGACTTCCATATGGGGATGCCTTCCTGCCCTGGCGGCAGCGGCTGGCCGTGGAGCAGCGGAACGCCTCCGGGCTGAGATTGCGGCCGCGCCTCGGCCGCTGAGGGGGCGCCGCCAAGGCCAACCCAGGCTGACTGCTGAGCGTTCTCGGATGGGTGGCTGCCTCTGGTCTCCGCCCGCAGACGCCCGCGCGGGTGGTCGAACTCGTCAACGGTCTTCCAGGACTCGCCGCCGCTCGACTTCCATATGGGGATGCCTTCCTGCCCTGGCGGCAGCGGCTGGCCGTGGAGCAGCGGAACGCCTCCGGGCTGAGATGGCGGCCGCGCCTCGGCCGCTGAGGGGGCGCCGCCAAGGCCAACCCAGGCTGACTGCTGAGCGTTCTCGGATGGGTGGCTGAATCTGGTCTCCGCCCGCAGACGCCCGCGCGGGTGGTCGAACTCGTCAACGGTCTTCCAGGACTCGCCGCCGCTCGACTTCCATATGGGGATGCCTTCCTGCCCTGGCGGCAGCGGCTGGCCGTGGAGCAGCGGAACGCCTCCGGGCTGAGATGGCGGCCGCGCCTCGGCCGCTGAGGGGGCGCCGCCAAGGCCAACCCAGGCTGACTGCTGAGCGTTCTCGGATGGGTGGCTGCCTCTGGTCTGCCCGCAGACGCCCGCGCGGGTGGTCGAACTCGTCAACGGTCTTCCAGGACTCGCCGCCGCTCGACTTCCATATGGGGATGCCTTCCTGCCCTGGCGGCAGCGGCTGGCCGTGGAGCAGCGGAACGCCTCCGGGCTGAGATTGCAGCCGCGCCTCGGCCGCTGAGGGGGCGCCGCCAAGGCCAACCCAGGCTGACTGCTGAGCGTTCTCGGATGGGTGGCTGCCTCTGGTCTCCGCCCGCAGACGCCCGCGCGGGTGGTCGAACTCGTCAACGGTCTTCCAGGACTCGCCGCCGCTCGACTTCCATATGGGGATGCCTTCCTGCCCTGGCGGCAGCGGCTGGCCGTGGAGCAGCGGAACGCCTCCGGGCTGAGATGGCGGCCGCGCCTCGGCCGCTGAGGGGGCGCCGCCAAGGCCAACCCAGGCTGACTGCTGAGCGTGTTCGGATGGGTGGCTGCCTCTGGTCTCTGCCCGCAGACGCCCGCGCGGGTGGTCGAACTCGTCAACGGTCTTCCAGGACTCGCCGCCGCAAGGTTGCAAAGGGACAAGCGACTCCGTGGTGACCGACTGCAAGGTGGACAGCATACGGGGCAACGACGCATCTAAACCCGATTGCAATGAGTTAGGGTCCGCGTACGTCTCGAAATAATTATCGAATACCTCCATCGTTGACGCGGTCGTATGAGCACCCTTACTGGTGCCACTGCGTGCTCTATGCGGGCTGGAGAAGTCGCAATCGTTGCTGGTGGCCTCGTGGACGCCACTTTGTATCCACTGAGATGAAACATGCCTCGCGAATGAGTCCATTTCGCGCGAACGGTGAGCGGCAAGTCGGTGCAATCAGTTCGACGAGGGCGCAGCCCAGAGCCGCTGGAGACACTACTTGAGCCCAACTTGGGGTCTGAATCGGCGGTGGACAAACCTCCCTTTAGTACACCTCCTCTTAGTGAAAACGACCTGGGACCGAAACCGACGAACCTGGACCCGCAAAAATAACGGCCGCGACGCCCTCTCGCGAACCGAAAACGGACAATTCCTCAATCGACGTGTCAGGGTAGGAGGTAGGAGGTCTATCCACCTCCGACTGAATTCGTGGCCGCCGGCGGATGCTCAGAACAGGGCGACGCAGCGCACGGCGCCGTGACTCGCCGGTCGCAACGCGGGGGAGGGATCCGCACTGCCGCCAGTCGCTGGGCGACCACGAGGGGAAGAGCGAGAGGGCCCGGCCGGCCACGAGGGGCCCCGGCCACGAGCGGGCACCCTGGACGCGGGGGAACGGCCCGTCGAGCGGGGCCCCTCCGGAACCCGACGTGGTCCTCGTCTCCTCCCTCCTCCCTCCTCCCTCCTCCCTCCTCCCTCCTCCCTCCTCCCTCCTTCGTAGACTGCAGACTCAGACATTGGCACCACACCCCGTTGTGCCACGCCCGTTTCTGCCTCCAGAGCGTGGGGAGGGGAGCCTCATAGCAGGGATGGCCGGTGGCGAGCCCCACGGCAACGCTTCGTGCTGGCGCGGATATATGATCTGGGCATTGCAGCATGGCCCCCGATTCGTCCAATCATCGCGATGAGAAGGAACACTTGCGGGAGGAACAGAACAGGGCATCAACAGAAACTTTCGGAGGTCCGAAGAACCGCCGACCATGCATGTGTATGCCTTGTTCTCCTCTTCGACCTTGACCATGCGGGCTGCGGCGACAGTCCTCAGGGGCAAACTACCATGGATAAAGGATCCGTGGTGATCTGGCGCGTGGGCGCCAGATCCACGTCCGAAGAAACGTGATGCGGGAGGCATGTCGCGGATGCCCTATTTCAGCATGTCCAACGTGTCCACTCATACATACAATTACATCCGAGCGACGAAAAACAACGGGTCTTACGCGAGATGGCATGGCAACTTTACGCGGTGGCTTACGCGGGCCGCCAGCGCGGCACACTGCGTGGAGAACGAGGGCGCTCAAGCGCGACCTTACGCGGGCAGCTTTCTCGGCAATGTCCGCGCAATCGGGCCCGTCGTATTCCGTCGCTCGTGTCACGTTGCTTGGCATGTTGGTTTCTCATAATGCGTCGCCCCGAACCCGCCGCCAGAGCCACGCCCCATGCTCCGACCCCAGAATGGCGGACCCGTCCTGGGGCTCCAAAGCGTACAACGACCAAGAGCAATAAGCATTGCTGTTGGCTTCCTGGACTTGTTGAACATCGCAGGGCCACGAGACGGCTCTGGAGCGCGTCAGGATGGCCTATCATGGCTCCACGACGACCCAAGATGGCCCCAACACGGCCCAAGAGGCCCCGCCAAAAAAGTCCCAGAAGCCTTGAAGACGGCCCCAGAGGGGGCCCAAGTGGCAACAGGCACAGGTGCTCAATCTGTGTGTGTGTTGACTGATTGGAGCACTTCGCTTTCTGGGGCTTCGGACACCCCAGGGCCGCCCCAGAGGCCTCCAGGATGGCCCCAAGACGGCCCAAGACGTCCGCAAGAGGGCCCCAGGACAGCCAAAGAGGGGCCCTGGACGGCGAAGGGGGCTCCCATGACGGCCCCCAGGCGGCCCAGGTGAGCCCCAAGACGGCTCGGGAAACACCCGAGGCGGCCCCTGGAAGCCCCAAGACGACCCAACAGGCACCCACGCAGCCCCAGAGTGCCCCCAAGACCCAAGAGGCATCCAAAGGCTCCCAGGAGGGGCCACGCGTGGGTACTCTGCACACTCCGGACGTGCACCCCGCGAAGCGAAAGGGATCCATGGATCGGGGGAGCCGCCCCGAGACACGAGGCCAGTGCACTTTGACTCGTCGAGTGGACGCGCCCATGGTGCATGGAAACGGCACTCGTCGTTGATCCACGCGCCTCAGTCCATGCTTGCGCTTCCTCGACGTGTGCCCCTCTTCCACCTCACCCCTCTCCTCCTCCTCCTCCTCCTCCTCCTCCTCCTCCTCCGCCTCCTCCTCCTCCTCCTCCTCCTCCTCCTCCTCCTCCTCCTCCCTCCCTCCCTCCTCCTCCTCCTCCTCCTCCTCCTCCTCCCTCCTCCCTCCCTCCCTCCTCCCTCCCTCCCTCCCTCCCTCCCTCCCTCCCTCCCTCCCTCCCCTCTCCCTCCCTCCCTCCCTCCCTCCCCCCTCCCTCCCTCCCTCCCTCCCTCCCTCCCTCCCCCCTCCCTCCCTCCCTCCCTCCCTCCCTCCCTCCCCTCCCCTCCTCCTCCTCCTCCTCCTCCTCCCTCTCCTCCTCCTCCTCTCCTCCTCCTCCTCCTCCTCCTCCTCCTCCTCTCCTCCTCCTCCTCTCACCACCACCATCATCATCAATCATCATCATCATCATCATCATCATCATCATCATCATCATCATCATCATCATCATCATCATCATCATCATCATCATCATCATCATCCATCATCATCATCATCATCATCATCATCCATCATCAGCATCAGCATCATCATCATCATCATTCATCATCATCATCATTCATCATCATCATCATCATCATCACATCATCATCATCATCATCATCATCATCATCATCATCATCATCATCATCATCATCATCATCATCAGCATCATCATCATCATGATCATCATCATCATCCTCATCATCATCATCATCATCATCATCATCATCAGCATCATCAGCATCATCATCATCATCATCATCACCACCACCACCACCACCACCATAATCATCATCATCAGCATCATCATCATCCTCATCAGCAGCAGCAGCATCAGCATCAGCATCCTCATCCTCTTTCTCCTCCTGCTCATCATCATCATCAGCAACACCATCAGCATCAGCATCAGCATCAGCATGAGAGTCATGCTGTTCCTCCTACTCCTCCTCCGTCTTCTCCCCGCCACCCACCGTCACCAGCCTCCTCCTCCTGCGCCTCCTCCTCCTTCTCCTCCTCCTCCTCCTCCTTGTCCTCCTCCTCATGGGGCGTCCCCGTCCTCCTCCTCCTCTTTCTTCTCCTGCTCAGCATCATCATCGGCAACACCATCAGCATGAGCATCAGCATCAGCATGAGTGTCATATTGTTCCTCCTGCTCATCCTCCGTCTTCTCCCCGCCATCCACCGTCAACAGCCTCCGCCTCCTGCGCCTCATCATCCTCGTCCTCCTCCTCATGGGGCGTCCCCGGGGGGAGAATTACCCTGTGACGTACCCAACCCATTTGTATCAGTGGAAACGAAGAGTTGGCCGAAACTTGTATGGACAATCAACTTGATGTGTAAGCTACTTGGGAGGCGTCACTGTGCTGGGCCCCGCAAGCAGGCCTCGAAAGTGGCGACAGTTTCACAGATCGCAGCCCCCCAGGGATGGCGAGGTCTAATCTGAATCTGCGTGTGGCGTCCCTGTGCTGTGCCCCCCAGCAGGCCTCGAAAGTGGCGACAGTTTCACAGATCGCAGCCCCCCAGGGATGGCGAGGTCTAATTTGAATCTGCGTGTGGGTACCCACTGCGCTGGGCCCATTCAGCAGGCCTCGAAACTGGCGACAGTTTCACAGATCGCAGCCCCCCAGGGATGGCGAGGTCCAATTTGAGTCTGCGTGTGGGTACCCACTGTGCTGGGCCCCTCAGCAGCCCTCGAAAGTGGCGACAGTTTCACAGATCGCAGCCCCCCAGGGATGGCGAGGTCCAATTTGAGTCTACGGTGGGTACCCACTGTGCTGGGCCCCCCAGCAGGCCTCGAAAGTGGCGACAGTTTCACAGATCGCAACCCCCCAGGGACGGCGAGGTCCAATTTGAGCCCGCGGTGAGTACCCACTGTGCTGTGCCCCTCAGCAGGCCTCGAAAGTGGCGACAGTTTCACAGATCGCAGCCCCCCAGGGACGGCGAAGTCTAATCTGAGTCTGCGGTGAGTACCTACTGTGCTGGGCCCCATCAGCAGCCCTCGAACGTGGCGACAGTTTCACAAATCGCAGCCCCCCAAGGATGGCGAGGTCTAATTTAAGTCTGCGGTGAGTACCCACTGTGCTGGGCCCCCCAGCAGCACTCGAAAGTTGCGACAGTTTCACAAATCGCAGCCCCCCAGGGATGGCGAGGTCCCATTTGAGTCTGCCGTGAGTACCCACTGTGCTGGGCCCCCCAGCAGGCCTCGAAAGTGGCGACAATTTCACAGACAGCAGCCCCCCAGGGATGGCGAGGTCCCATTTGAGTCTGCCGTGAGTACCCACTGTGCTGGGCCCCCCAGCAGGCCTCGAAAGTGGCGACCGCTTCACAGATCGCAGCCCCCCAAGGATGGCGAGGTCCCATTTGAATCCGCCGTGAGTACCGACTGCGCTGGGCCCCCCAGCAGGCCTCGAAAGTGGCGACAGTTTCACAGATCGCAGCCCCCCAAGGATGGCGAGGTCCCATTTGAGTCTGCCGTGAGTACCCACTGCGCTGGGCCCCCCAGCAGGCCTCGAAAGTGGCGACAGTTTCACAGATCGCAGCCCCCCAGGGATGGCGAGGTCCCATTTGAGTCTGCCGTGAATACCCACTGTGCTGGGCCCCCCAGCAGGCCTCGAAAGTGGCGACCGTTTCACAGATCGCAGCCCCCCAGGGATGGCGAGGTCAAATTTGAGTCTGCCGTGAGTACCCACTGTGCTGGGCCCCCCAGCAGGCCTCGAAAGTGGCGACAGTTTCACAGATCGCAGCCCCCCAGCTGGCACGCAGCGACGAGCGAGGCGAAAGGCAAGGGGGAAGAGAGGGGCGGGAGGGGGCGGGAAGGAGACGCGCGAGCAGTGCTCTATTCAAAACGAGAACCCAACGAAGGAGGGTTGGGAAAAAAACGGCAAGCAAGATGCGGAATTCGGGCTGGCACACACTGCTCATCCTGCTCCTCCTGTTTTCGTCCTTATCCTCGTGGGGGCCTTGCGGGGGAAAACAAACAGGAGCAAGGCGGCAACGTGTGCTCGAGCACAAGATGGCCTCGAAGATGG